GGGGGGGGGGGGGGGGGAGGGGTGTGAAAAATGTAACTTGGAGTGCGCGAGGTTGAAAGTTACATTTAACAAGCCCCCCCCATTGGGGGAGAATGCATTGTGCAGAGTCTTGTGATGTCATTTGCCTGCGATAGTAGCAGGAATGGATCAAGAGAGAGGTCGTATGATGTTGTATGAAGTAAGAGCTAGTCAAAGACAATCAAAGCGAGAAAATCAATGCAGTCAGAACACAGGGTGAAAAGGCATGTGTACATGTAACATCATGTTACATATGCCAGCTGCGCAAGCACATTCCAGGTGATACTGCATGCTTCCAAGGCCTGGACACACCTAAGTTACAATTGCTTATGGGTCCACAGCACATCACAACAAAACACAACAAGTCCACCAAAGCACTCCAGTTGAAAAGGTATGTTTAAATGTAACATGTGACAGCTGCACATAGCACAGATTAGGTGAAAATGCATGTTTCCAAGACGTCCACATGTCTAAGTTACATTTCTTTCTTGCATTCTGGTCCAACACTGCTGACACTGTGGCACAGCAGGTCTAGAATTAAACGCACTCCTCCCACAACATCAAAACAGAAGAACTCCAACCAAAGCACACCCAGTGATAAAGGCATTTAAATGTAACATATGCCAGGTGCACACAGCACAGTCTGGGTGATAATGCAAGTTTCCCAGGCCTGCGCACACCAAAGTTACATTTCTTTCTGGCATTCTGCAGAGGAACCAGCTGATGAGAAGAGTTTTGCGTAGTCGAAGAGCGCAGTCGAAGAAGAAAAGAGCCCATACTCTTCAAGCAGCCTCACTGAGTCTTGCGTAGTGTTACTTTGAACCATCCTAGACCTGAAAAAATGTAAGTTACATTTTTTCAGGTCCCCCCCTGCTAAGGGGTAGGGATTGCATAACGCTTCTTGCGCGACATGTCACTTTCATGCAAATCACAATGTAATAGCGGCGCAAACTGACACGTGCCACATCCATGAAAAGTCACTTGCAAAAGCTTCCCCCAATGGCAGGGCCATAGAGACATCATACCGACGGTTGCAAACGGTTGCGAACTCGAAAACAACGTCGGCAAACACAGCTCTACCCTCAGACTCCCAAGTTAAACGAGAACCCTTCGCTATGCATTCGGGAACAACCACTAATTAGGATCTTTTGGTCTGAATTGTTGGCGCACAAAATTCACCACGTGTCAGTGTAAGTGTCGTAAAGGCACTGCTTGTCATGTAGGCACCGGTTCCAGCATCGCAGACCGATTATTGAGGCCTTTCAATGATTTCATCGAAGAGAAGCAGCAGGGGACCAACTCGTATGAGGATCTTGCTTCGACAATGTGGCCTGATTTATCAACACCCCCCACTTTTCCAAGGGATTCACCAGTTCTTTGCCTAATCGAACTTCAAGAAATCGATAGTGCCACTTGCGACTGCGCGGGACCCTGCAGGAGCGCCAAGCGAGATCTGCCGCAATACAGGCGAAGCTACAGGCTTCCGGGTTGCAGATGCTCGGGAATGTCGGAGGAATGGTCAGTGCTTGCTTCATTGAGAGCTTTCAGGTAGCAATTAGAGTACTGTAGGATACTGTAGGTATCGGGTAGAAGCCATCGCGAACGATGACAGGCTGCCAGGAATCGCTTGTCGATCGTGCGCTACGAGCGGAATAGCCAAGCCCTCGGCTTTTGGATGCTTGTTGTGGGCATGGCCCTTCACCAGACTCCAGGGCGAGCTTGCACGAAGTTTGCATTATTTTTTGTTGCATGGTGTTCTTCGTAGGCGCTCCTGCACCTGCTCCTGTTCCAGAAAAGCCAAGTCCAGACCTTAGCCACCATGGCTCGCCATGTCTCAACGGACCGACCGCGTCCAGGCCGAGCACCTAAAGCAGAAGCGAAACGACAGAAGCCGAAGATGCCCGAGAGCCGTGTCGGGGACTGAAGAAGCACACGCACTGGTGACGCATTTGTGTGGTTCAACATGTTTGAGCCACAGCCACCTCTGAACAAGGTGAACATGTTGTTTCATTCATTTCAGGGTTGTCCCTGAAATGTGGATCCTACCTGGGACCTACCAAGGGGAACACACCAAGACCAGTGGGCATTCGTTGGATGGAACGTGCTTGCTGTTCGTCTGATCCCTTGGGCTCTTCCGCGTCCGCTTCCATCACCGTCTCGTTTGGCTCGAGCTGCCTGACCCTGAGACCCTCAGGAGCCGGCAGAGTTTGAAGACTCGGATGCTTTTGGAGGGGGAACATCGTCAGGTCAACGCGTTGGTTTGGTCCATAGAGGTCACATATGAGATCTCAATCAAAGCCCCCTGATTTGACCACCTTTCAAACAGTATCCAACCCGCGGTACAGCGTGGGAGCCTGGGAAGCCTGAATAGATCAGTGTCATGAACTGTTGATCAATGGGCAATTTGCCTCTTGGCAGCATAGGACTCGCAAAGGAGCAACGAAACCACTTGGACACCTTGAGGGGTTTGCGAAGTCAGATGCCGAAAGATCTCGCTGAGGATCATCCCAGGTGAGACTGCCTTGTCCGGCCGAATCTACAAGGACCCTAATTTCAGCATGCCAGACATGTTCCAAGCTCGCGTGGGCTCGGCGGCGCAGAATGCCGCGCAGAGAAATCGACCAAGCTGAAGGATTGGCTGGCCCATCATGATCTTGATAGGAGAGTTGCAGGGGCTGCATAGCACTTAGTGAGCTGTGGTGCCGTCGGTCATTACGGAGTCATTACGTGTCTTTTTGTGTTGTGAGCTGCTGTGGGTAGAACCCCATGCGTGAGACGCAAACCAACGAGGTTAGCCCACCTCCAGTTGGCCTCAAGAATGTGAAAAACATGTGCTTCCTGAACGCGATCATCCAATCTTTATACTACACACCAATGTTGCGTAGAAATCTCGCTCTGGCAACTGACAGCCGGCACCTCAAGACAAAATCCTTTAAGATGTGATGCGGCCGTGTCGCAGTGGCCTTTGGATTTTTTTAGCCCAGGTGCCGTGGTCAAAGATCAGTGGCTCATCCAGCTGCAAAAGCTTTTCCAGGAGCTTGATGCTTCCAGGACAGAACGAGTCAAAGAGAGAGAGGGTTCCACAAACCTTTGACCTTTTTTGGCTTCAAGTCTTTCTTTACAGCTGACCCCACGATTCATCGCCGTGGTTTTCGGCGTTGCTTTGGCTGAAAAAGCGTAGGACCTCCAAGTCTCTCATTGCCGCCACAGACATCGCTTCTTTGATCCAAGCTGCATCCACCAACGGTGTCCCAGCTCTTGTTCTGATTCGTTGACATTCACAGACGAAAAGACGGAATGCTCCAGCTCTTTGATACCTGAGGTGAGTTTCAACACGGTGAGCAAGCAGATGCACATGAAGCGTTCATGCTTCTGATTTCAAAGTTGTTGGAAGGATGTATCTCTTGCAGAGGCTTGGTCAGCCAAGCATCTGATAGTCAGTGATACTTGTCTCCGTCCCAGGGCTGTCACTCTCCGAGAAGGAGCAAATTGAGCAAAGCAGCTTAATAGGCGAGGCTTCACCTGTTGTGGGGGTGAACCATATGAAGGGTGAAACAAGCGAAACAGGCGCTTGGCATGGCCAAGCTGCCAAGCTCGGGTGACAAGCTGCCAATAGCTGCCAAGTGTCAGGCCACATTTTTGGGATGAGTTTGAGTCAGCCAAGCCCTCAGAGTTCTTCTGGGCACTTGTGCAAGATCTCAGGAAGAGTCTATGTCCAGCTGTTTCCAGCTGTTCGTGCCAGGTGTTTTCCAGCTGTTTCCTTCCCTTGGTCCGAGGTCCGTGAGATGTAAAAGCTGTGGGGACAAGTCCGCACGAAGTCGCTCCGAGTATTGCTTCTGTGTGACGTGTCCCACGGAGCACCGGGGTGCAATTGATGTCACCGAGCTACTGGCCACCTACACGCAAGAGGAGCACATCAATGAATGGAAGTGTGACAAGTGCTCACAGGTGGGTTGTGTGCGACAGGCAGGGATTCACCATCCACCCAACGTCTTGCTGGTCCATGTGAGCCGTCTTCAGCGAGGCATTTGTCCACGGGTGACCTTTCAAAAGGAGCTGACCATCCAGTGTGATGAATCAGCACCGGCCTCTGTACAAAAGGTCAGATATTTGCTCTTTGCGGTGATCGTGTACCGCTCCATGGGCTCGAATGGTGGTCATTACTTCGCATTTGTGCGAAGCGGTCGAGGCCAAAGTGAGCAGTGGTTCTTAGCCGATGACGATGACATCAAAGGGGTTGCTTGGACGGACGTTCAGCAGGAAGAGCCCTTCATGCTCCTGTATGAGGCCGCGAAGGTGGTGCCGCCATTGATGACCGATTCCGTTGCCAGGTTGAGAGGAGGCACATTTTACATATGTTTCATCATTAAAGCTTTAATGTGGAATCGGCGCTGCAGACCTCGTGACTTTTGACAGACGACCGAAGACGGAAGATCAATGCATATGTATGCTTATGTGCTTTTGTTGGTGTTGATTCTGAATCGGATGGATAACTAAAAGATCCTTAAAGTTTCTACTTCCCGCGCAGAACTTCCCCGAGAAAAAGCGTCATGTGCTTGCATTACACAAACGACCATTCAATAGCTGGAAAACAGGATACATAACAACTGCCCTCTTCTGCACAGGCTTACAGACGAGGTGTGAATGCACCAGATGCGGCACACAAGAGCTCACAGACCTGAGATCACCTATATAGAAAAACCTTGCAGGGGCTGTAGCACAGCATAGCGGCATGGCCGATTACGTGCGGCCCCAGTGCCCTGTCGATCACGCAGCCAGTGCCAATCGCGCTTTTCTGACCGCACGTTTCGCTTGAGCTTGCAATTGCAATGAGGCATGCAATTCCGGCTTAGCAAGCGCTGCTGGTCCGGCCAAAACTGAGCCCGCCGGGGACCATCACACCACGACATCTCTTGTCAAAATCCCAGCACACCACTGCGCCACACGGCACTACACCACCACCACCACCACCACCACCACCAAGCGCCACACATCAACATGCAGCACTACCCTACTCGCAATCACACGACCACACAACGAGTCGCCCACAACCAGTCAATGAACACATCACACAGCCAAGACACTTCTTCGCACCGCACATCATCACAACAAAGTTTCCATGTCAGAGCTTCTCCTCATTCTCTCACAGCTCCCTCCCTGCTGGATTCGGTCCACGACAGTGGCCCGATTCTCCGTGCGGAGCGGGTCTGGCAAAGACAAAGACAAACAACGGTACTCGTACCATCCAAACGTGGCACAAGAAGTTTATATCATAAATAAAATCCTTTTTCAAACATGTTAAAACAAATGATGACTCTGCAGCAGAGGTTGCTGGGTCGTCCAAGTTTTGGAAGCCATTGCCAAATACAGTATCATCTCCATCTCCTGCCTTCCCAGGAACAGCGTCTTTTGAAAGAAGAGCAGCTCCAGGAAGAAGCCCGCATGAAATCTTTGGAGCAACACCGCATGAAGTCGGAGGCAGCAACCCCTGACTTTGCAAGTTTTTCCCTTCTTGGCGGCCAAACAGTGGGTTTAGTTCCAGACTCCAGCTGATTTGGGGATATGTACTGTTCTTGAGCGATGCCCACGTCACACAGCAATGTCAGCCTTTGAGCTTGTGAATTTCATTGTATGTCGATGTATTTCGGATGTGGCCTGTCTAGGCAGAAGCTCGGGCGCGTGAAGAACACCACCTTCGCATTAAGCAGCAGGAGGCGTTTCATTTGTACCACCAGCGGCATCAGGTCCGAGGGTGCCGTCAGGGCAGCTTGCCGTGCGGGTTGTTGGCAGCCGGTTCCAGCCATGCGTTCAAGCATCCAAAACAACACACAAGGGGGCAGAATGGGGGGAGGCTGAGTGAGGCAGGACGTTCTGGCAATTTCTGGCATGTGCCCAAAATCGATCCGGTGCAGGCAGAGGTTGAAAAGATGAGGCGGATGATGTCAGTCCGAACTTGTCCGATGTTTTTGAGAAGAAATATGGCCGTGGGATGGTGTGGAATTCTTGGGAGTCCTTGGGACCTTGGCTGTGAACGAGGTCCTCCAGGTTTTAACCCACAGCATGTTTGGTATTGTGCTCTGCCGGAGGCAATCGATCTTCAGCTGGGGTTTTGGAAGCCCAGGGAAGGACGAGGCAAGGCTTCGTCGCGACCGCTTGTCACGGACGTGTGCGACGGAGGCGACGTGCCTTCGTGCCACGATCACGGCGTGCCGCGGAGCAACGTTCGAGGTCACCAAGAAGCTGGGCTACGACGATCCCTACACACCTCCCGCAACTGAGCTATCCTCCACGACAGCAGGGTCTGAGGAAAGGGGAGGGTGGGACTGGCATGAGCGACATATTGTCATACAATCTCATACAATGGTTACAATGACATGATAATATCATTTATATACTCCTAAATTGTACTGACTAGTATATGATTGTTAATATAATGATTGCATGCTGTATGCTTGCGCACCTCATTCGGCATGCATGCTGCATGCTCATGCTGCATGCTCGTGCTGCACTTTGCATCACTCTGCCAATGTATTGGATTGAGCTCCCTGACCACGCAACCCTGCAGGGACGATACCGACCGGACGAGCCTCCATGGCCACCCCACCGTGAAAAGCGCCGAAGCATCATGGACTTCAACCGGTGCTTGGATTTGTTTTCTTGCAGCATCTTGCAGTGCGCATTGTCGAAGCTGTTTGTTCTTTCACAGGTCTTTCCGCTTGCCAGATCGGTCGCGTTGCGATCAGGTGGTCACTCTTCCACTCATGCCAGTGTAGCCTGCCATCGGGTGAATATTCTGAAGGCATAGAAGATGAGTCGATGCATTGTATGTAGTCCTTTGTTTCAAGCGCAGTTTCCTCAGTTTCCTGTGGTTTGTTTCGAATTTTAAGATCAGAGCAGGTCCCGAATTCCTCGGCGTTTTTTCCTCCAAAGCGCTGATGAAGGTGACCCGTTGCTGACTTGTAGCTTGACGCCATGCATCTTCTTGCGAATGGCCTGCCATGGCCGATGCATGCTTCTGAACCGACTGCGAGTTGGTTGATGGAGTTCTTTGGCCGTGGCATGGGACTTTGCAAGCCCCAATTCAGCCTAATCCCCATGCAACCTTGACCATACTCTTGCAAAAGCAAGATGTCGCTGCATTTTTGAACAGGATAATAAAAGGATATAAAGGGGCCCACTACGAAGATGCACGGTTTGACTTGTGGCAATGCTTGTGTGATTTTCTTTGTCACTTCGTGCAAGACTGGATGTTTGAAGATTCTTTGGATAGGAACGATTTCGGGAACGGCATGAGCCTGGATGGGGACGCCGCCTTAGAGCTTTCAAAGATCCAGCACCAGCAGGTGGAAATTCATCTTTTGGGGTCTTGAGTCTTGAACAGCAGATTTGAATTTCATTGGATGTCTCAAGTCAACAACACCACAACTGAGGGTGGCTACAACCTGGGCGGTAGAGTTGCCGGAGGGGACCAAGGAATCGGGCTTTGCCAAGTGTCAGCCGGGTGGCGCCGCTGCGCGAACCCACCCCTGGCCTGAGCATAAGCTCATTCAATCAAGCGATCCTTTCGGCGCAATTTCAGATGTAAAGTTCGTTTGTTCGCATTTTAGGGCCAGCAAGAACGTGCCCAAGCGAATCAGACTTCACTACTTTGTGGGCGAGTTTAGTGAAAGGTCGCGCGATTGGCCACGTGACAGTAGCAAGTTGTTGGGAGTGTGCGAGCGACAGTCGGGCATCGTCGGTGGCACACGTCGCCCTTTCGGATCAAAAAGAGTCAATAGGGGCCTTTGTGAAGATAATGCAGCTACAGAAAGGCCAGAGTCCATTCCCTTCCTCCTGAGGGGCAGCCCCATCTACCGAGGGGAGTCCTCCAAATGGCATTAATACCTGTAGAAATTATACATGTAAATATAATATTATAACTATATCATATATATATATACGCATAATAGATCACCACAGATCTGGGTAACTCGTCTCTGCAACTTTCCCCGAATTGCCTCCATGCCTTCTGTGGCAATGTTGGCCTGACAGCACCATGGCAGCTGCGGCTATCAGCTGCTAGAATCCAAAAAGTAAAGGTTTTCAGAGAGAGAGAGAGAGAGAGCTAGAGGATCTTACAGGTGATGGTTCCGTTTCTGGAAAAGGCCATGTCGCGTAACACGCAAACACAGAGAGCTGGGGATAGAGAGAGAGAGGGAGAGTTGGGAAACACTTGGCAGCCCGGCTAAATGACCAAAGCCGACCGATGTGAGTTTCTGCCGGTGTGTGGGGGCAGACGGCCACGAGAGTGAAACCTGAAGACTCGATGCTTTCTGGGAGAACCCGTTTTTGGTGTATGTATATTAATTGTTTACATGTAATTAAGCAATGTAATATATGTAATGTGATATATATATATATACTGTAAGGTAATGTGATGGTACGGGTGGATGGATGGATGGATGGATGTGCTTGAGGCCTTGATGACTTCAAATCCTTGACAGCACGGCAGCTCCGCCAAGAATGCACGCTGGGGCCTTGGTGGAAGAGGATGCGTTTGAGCTCAAAGACGACCAAACAGATCCAAAGACTACAAACTGAGGTCCAGAGGAGTAAGCCTGACAGGCTGCTTTGACAAAGATGCCATGCTACAGAGGCTGTGAAACAGTAAAGCTGCCAACTGCTTGTGTGTGTGTTTTTTTGGTTTTCCGTTCCCACTGGGAATCATGTCATTTGCTAAAGTTCCTCATTTGCGATCATGTGGACTTTGCTTGGGAGGTTGCAGAAGGCCTTGTCGCAAGCTGGCGGTCGGCTTCCGGAGCGACGGCCGCAGGAAGCCGCTCTCAGACTGCTTTGCGAAGAGAACTGCAGAAACGCCATTCGATGATGTTTCACCAACTCACCAACATGGACGGGTTTTGTGTTGCATTGGGAAGGCTATGTTCCTTCACACCCAGTGGTTTGTCCACTTCCGTGCGTGTGTGAGTTTGAGTGTAGTTGCGGACAAGGACACAACGGTGGCAGCGTGTGTCATGTTTTCTTGGAGCTCAGGCCACAATCAAGCACACAGACAGTTCTCTAAATCCGCCTGCTTGCACCTTATTTATTACCTGCTCAGCGGTAGAATGGTAGCAGACATCGCATCGTAAGCCAAACTTTGCCCGCAGGTAGATGTTTCAAATGCAAGCGTTTGGAGTTCGAAGTGAACACATGCAAAGTCTACTGATTTATCACGGCTGCTTGTTCAAAAGGGTCTGATGTATATAGTGATGTAGTGATGTAAATTGTTCAGGAACCAGCGCAGCCGGCAAGTCCCAACCACAGTCTGAGGTGGAGAACGTTGTCTCCGTGTCGAGTGCTGCCAACTTAGCACATGCGAGCTGACAAAGGGGTCCACAACAGTGCTTGAGTGACATTTCAGCAGCAGCTTGCAGAAATCACTCAACAACGCTGGAGGCTGCAGATGACCCGCGGTTGTACACTAGCGACGATACTGCCAGAAAAGCTGCAGAGGCAGGATGTTGCTGTGGGGTTCGGGATTGCATCCTACTCGACACCTTTGCGGTAGGAATCTGCGCAGGCTGCCGTTCCAAGCACGATTATGGTGGAGGAGAATGTTGCCCCGCGACAGAGTGCTTCCAACTTAGAGTGTGCAAGCTGACGGGGTTCCATGACAGTGCTTGAAAGACATTGCAGCAGCAACTTGCAGATTTAGTTCAGCAATAATGCTGCAGGCTGCAAATGATAGACCATTAGATGCCAATGCCAAAGAAGCTGCAGAGGCAGGATGTTGCTGTGGGGTTCGGTA